CCTCGTCTTGTTGCACATGCATGTTTCAACCCATATTCTTCTCTTCTAGTAATTTTTTAAATACTGTTACACACTAGCTAAAACTGATATTGAGTGACAGCACCAGAGGGGACATGATTAAGCCCACAGAAAGGTGAAAAAAAGGCTAAAGAACTGATTATTTTTTTAAAGTGCTTTTTATTTAAGGGAGTTAACAGAGGAGTGCCTTGCTGAACTGACATTAACTGAGCAGTCATATCCTCAGTGATCCACAACGTTAAAGGAAGTTTAAAGATAATTCAAGTAATTTCACAGACTCTAAGGAACTTATAAGAGTTGACCTTTAAAACATAAAGTGCTGCTTAGGGAATTATACCAGAGCTACTGTTCCTTTATTCTATAGTGTATTTTCAATCAGATGCAACATGTGAAATATTGATGTATTTATAAATACTTATCCAACAGATATTCAAACACTGCTGTGAGGTAAATGCAGGCTCAGGACAGTGTTGTGTGTGTTTAGAAAGTCCGCAACTGTCCCAAAGTCTGGAGGTTATCTTTTTCTCCTCTCTCTCATTTTGTCTTACATTCAAATGGTTGTGCTGTCTTTTATTCCAAGGCTCTTGCCTGCTCAGATGGCCTCTGTAATTAAAATGCTAAGCAGTACCATAAGTCACCTCCTAACTACTGCAACTTCTTCTTTAACGGTACCTTTATCTTTTCCTTCCATTCAAATTAAAACATAGTGTGTTCGGGTAGGATAGAGTTTTAGAAAATGCAGACTCCATTTAGCACCACGTACTGAATGCAATTCTAATCATGCCATAAGACATGTTGTTATACTGCATTTTAGAGTGGTGCCCTAACTAGGAATGGAATTTGAACCTTGCTGAAAGGCCATCAGGGAAAAACCATTAGCAATTTTACATTGTGCCTTTCCCTCTCACTCAGTGACCTCTGAAACAATGTTTTGCTTACATGGAACTATAGAAAAAAGAAGCTGCTACGAAAAAAAATTTGGGAGTGGGAGACGCTATGGATACACAGTTTGACTTTTGCTCCAGAAACTTCAGCTTTAGCAGTCGAAGATATTCTCTCTCTCAAAGATAAAGGAGGCTTTTTTTGCTAATGTACCAGAGAGCCGATGGCAGCAGCTGGCATCACATGTGCTTGTGCTGCAGGGTGGAGAGGCAGAGGTGAGGAAGAGAGCTGGGATAGGAACATTTAAATTACTTCACCTACAGTGGCAGAGCTCTTGAGTCAGTGCCTGGCAGCAGAACAAGAAGGAGGAGTGGGAGAAGTCCCCTGGGAACTACAGATCTTGGCTCCACAGAAGGAGAAAGTCAGACTGAAGAAGGCTACATTTTAATATTCTTGCTATGTTCAGAGCTCAGTAGCTTTCCAATGCCTTTTATGACTAAAATTATTATAATGAAAAACTCCTTTACAAAAGTTACCTTATTTAACTTCCCAGAACACTGTCTGTGAAAAATTTAAAGCAGAAGGAAGTGCTGTTAATCCACCAGACAATCTGAGCAAGGGCAGCAAACAAGACTTGGGAGATCCCAGGAGTAAATTTCAAAGTTTTGGATTGCAGAGCTTCACAAAGGGAGGACTCAGCTAAGAAGTCTTCTACTAAGCACCTGGAACTGATTGTTGGAACTATTAGCAGTCACAAGTAACTGATTCAGAAGCAAAAAGTGAAAAAGGAGTTCAAAATATCCAGGGAGTTTGGTATCGAGACAGCAGCACAGTCCTAAGAAGACTTCCACAAACAGGAGAAGTAATCCCTCAGTATTTCTTGGAAGACTTATTTCAAGTGCACACGCTGGAACAGTTTAATGCTCTACATCTACACAACGTTACAATATAGCCGTTATGAAGCCAATACATCACTGTCCTGCAGATCAAATGGCTATTTAGACAGAAGTTCTAGTTCTCACTGGAACAGAAAGCAGATCTCATTCAGAGGATTGATACTATAAGCAGATACTACCAAGAAACTCTAAAGCCAGAACCAGAAAAGCCACAGCTCAAAATTTACACCACAGCAGATTTTAGAAGCAAAAAACAACCCATTGGTCACGGGGCTCAGAGACTAACCAAGAGGGGTCTGCCAAAATGCAGGCTAATGTAATGTAATGGTGGTCCAGCCAAGCGGAAGCCAGGACACAGCAACAATGAGGAAAATATATAACAAAGCAATTTCACATCCAGAGCAGATGCCCACAGAGCACTTTGTATCCCTGAGGTTATGCAGCAAAATAATTCAGGAGTGGAAGGGGCAAATGTTTGGGTGACCAGATTGAACAATTATAATGGAACAGCTAATTAACTACCCATTAAACAGACAGCATGAGGGAGTTATTTAGGAAATCTTCTCTGTCAGGATCTCCAGTGTCCCAAGAATGCACACGTATTAGCATCTACCCTGAGACTTTTGATGCCCTCCTACAGCTCTAACTCCAGGGTTCTGCAAAGCTGGGGGTCTGTGGCTCCCTGCTCCTCAGGGTCTCTCTGGGAACAGGCGCCCAGGGTCAGGGCTGAGCCTTTGTGCAGACAAAAGCAGGAGCTGGAAACCTGCAGCAGAAATTAATGTGCATTCTCTGTAACAGCACCTGACTTCCAAACAGAGCTGCAGGCTGGTCTTTCCATTAGCTCCCTCTCACATCAAATTGAAAACTTTTTGTTCTCATGCTTAAAACTCGACATAATTATTTCCCTTTCCCTCGTGCTCCCTCCCCTGACAGCACTGAATCGATTCTCTTGAGAAAGCATTTGGTGTGCCGTGAGTCACCCCAACCGCATGTTTTGATTGATACACTCGCCTTTTCCCTTAAACAACGCTCTGCTTTTTTGTAGCATCACCTTTGTCTGATCCAGATCACTCATTCACTGCATTTAAGCTTTCTTAAAAGCTCATAATTGGTTTTATAGGCAATAGAAGGAAATTATCTGCACAGAAGAGAATTATCTGTAGCATTTTTACAGTATCTGTATTAAGTGAAATAATAATGTAAACACTTTGCTATTGTCTTT